TCTGATTCTTTTAATTAATTTAGTAAAAATATTATTGTGCAAACATTCTGGGAGTGAAATAGCAGTAATTTAAGTAATTATATGATTTACCTTTTAGTTAATATTTTGCGATTGGACTTTTTTAATACATAATTTTTCATTACTTTGTATTATTTTTTGCATTTTTATTAGATAACTAAATACCGTTTATTTGATAAAAATCTTGCGTAATGTATAGGCCATAATTAATCATTATAATTGAAAAAATACATGTATAGTATTGATATTAAATAAATATACAGTATATTTATAATATTTGAAATTAAACAATAAATTATAAATTGACATTAATTTTTTTACATAAAATTAAAAGTGCATTGCTCTATTAACATTAGAATCTGGTGTTATATAATCCAAATTTTGAATTTTTAGATAATCAATAACTTTATTAAAAAACACATCACTGATACTCAACATTATAATATATGTTTTTATAAAAATTATGGCTTAAATCAAAAAAGTTTCTCTAATTAAATTTGCTTAGCATTTTCAAAAATGATTAAAAAAAGGTTTAATTATTAGTAGTATTTAGTACTATTCTTATTTTTTTATACTGCAAATATTGCAAAATAAAATTTAAAAAACTTAAAAATATATAAATAAAGTATATACTGCAATATTAAGTACTGTAATGTGAAATATAATTATTACATAGTTTAAACAGATTATTAATAAAGAATCTGAACATTTAATATATAAATTATAATGGACTTTTAGTCAAAATCACCTTTTTTGTTAAAACTCAAAAAATTGTTTTTTGATAAACTTTTTTTTAAATTGTTAAGTTCAATGAGATTCATAAATAAAAAAAATTCATCAAAATTAAATTACTGGATTGCATAACTTCAATTTTTAACTTTTTAAACTAATTTGCTAAAAGTATAACTTATAACTTATTTTAGAATATACAGCTGGATTTTATTAATAATATAGAAAAAAATCAGGGTAATAAATAAAAAATGCATAAATTATATAACTATAGTATGAATACTATAAATTTTTTATATTAAAATAATTATATTATTTTACTATAAAAGTAATAAATTTAAGAATTAAGATTTATTTATCATACTAATGATACAAATTTTTATGTAAATAATTTACAAAAAAGAAAAGTGGTAATGCATCATACAGGTGATGAATAAATTTACCCTAAATTTAGAATTTAAAAATTTTGTTAAGTATAAAATTTAACTTAATAAATTTCTTTATATTTTTATTAATAATTTATATTATAAAATAATATAAAATTATAAAATTAGTTTTTATATCTTAATTTAATATTATAATATAATTAATATCATTATAAAATTAAATTAAATAAAATCTCAAAACAAAAATTAGTTTTATAATATATATGTTAATTTATACACTTTATAAGTATTAAATAAAATTTAATTTTTTTATTTAATTTAATAGAGTACTAATAAGTAATATAGGAAACTATTTGGTTGAAATAAATAGTTCTAATAGAATAGACAACAATATATAAAAACTTATACAATTTTTACATTCATATTAAATATTAGAGTATAGAATAACAATAACAATAACAAAGTTAATTTAGAAAATATTAATAGTTTTTTACTTAATGTATACAATATAAGAAATAACAACAATAGATTTAGATGCATTATACTTTATACTTCACATTAAAATCTATAATAATATTAACGAATTGGCAGGAAATAATACAAAATTTTATGGAATACTAAATTAGATACAAGAAAATCAAATACAGTCAACTCTCTCTATAGTTACTCCCATTATAGTCACATTCTACTATATAGTCACATCAGTTAAATGTTCAAAACACTTTATTATTAAAAATCTATCCTATATAGTCACAATCTATCTATAGTCACTATCACACTTATCCTCAAAAATCTTATATTAAAAAGAACTGTTTATAATCACAGTATATAATGAAATATATTAAATAACTTGGTATCTAATAATCGTATAAAGATGTACCATAGCTTGTTAGAATCGTCTTACTGAGATGAATCGAATGGTAGTAGTTTTATCTTTTTATGATCACTGGCTGATAAGTTATTCAACAAAATGTTTAACATCAGCATTATAATATTTATTGATTTACGTTTATTGCGCCATTTAACATTTTGCTAAATTTCTCAGTACCTAGTGATTGTAAAAGGATAATTAATAGCTCGTTGGAATCGCCTTATCAAAATGAATCGAATGGAGGTAAGCTCATCTCTCTGTAATCAATATTGACAGAGTTACTACTTAAAATCCATTTAATATTTTTTAATTTTGGAAATTGATCTAGTGATTGGATTTTGATGTATCTTATACCATTAGATTTGTCTTATCAAGATGAATCGAATGGTAGTAAGATTGTCTCTTTAGGATTAATATTGGTAGAGTTATTACACAAAAATCATTAATATTTTTTTAATTTTAAAAATTAATCCAGTAATTGGATTTCGATGTATTTTATACCATTAGAACTGTCTTATCAAACGAATCGAATGGTGGTAAGATCATCTCTTTACGATTAATATTAGCAGAGTTACAATACAATAAAGTTTTAAGTATAATTCTAGCCAAAATTATGTTAATTTTTGGCCAGAATTATGATATACTAATATAAAAATTTTTTTATATAGTCATATTTCTTTATAATCACCAAATATGGACTGTTCCAAATGTGTGACTATAAAAAGAGTTGACTGTAGACATTATAACCTTAAATAAAACTAATTTAGACTAAAAGAATAGTTTTTTCAAAATATCTAACAGTTTTAAAAATTAATCTTATATTTATTGGTTAAGTAAACGGTATAACAAACATAAAGAATTGGAAGTAATATTAATATGTTCATGAAAATGGAATAAGTATTATTAAGAATACAAAATTCATTTACCATATTTACTTTCAGCATACTTTTTATTTAGAAATGTTTTATTTTATATCTGGATTATTTATGTAGTACCACAAAATAAACAATTCTTTATGACATTCTAGAATAACTTAAAAGACAAATATATGATGAAATTATATGAAAAAAATCAAATAATATAATATATATATTAATGTGAGACTTTAATTTGATTTCAAACAGTCATATTAATCATATTCTATTACAATATATCTTTAGACCCAAATTTCTTAATAATCTTAAAACATTAAAATTTATAGATTTATATAGAAAACTCAATAAAAAATACTAAGGAATACTTATCATAAAGAAGATATTAATATGAGAATAAACTAAATTTAAGTATTAAAAACTTACAGTAATAATTATTGAATTTTTCAATTATTCTCTTAATATTATCATATATAATATCATAATATAATTATATTAACTATGGATAGTACTTTTGTCCTTATACAAAATAATAGAAAAAATACAGTATATGACAAATTACCTACTGGTAATACCTACACTAGAAGTATGATTGTAATAATATTGAAACAGAAATGTGGAATAATTTTTGGCTAAAGCTTTGATGAATGGATCAGTTTGGTCTGAATTATTATAGATAATTCAGATTAAAACTAAAATTTGTAAAAATCGAACTGAAAAACTGGCAGTTCAATTCAGTTTAATTTGATTTTATAAAAATGTAAAAAATATAAAAATGTAAAAAATTGAATAACTAATTATTAAGTGATCATATTATACTTTTTTTTAAAATAACAAAATACTAATTAAATTTATTTTGACAGACGTAATGTATTTTGACAGATGTAATTAATTCATAGTAATTTTATAATAAATAGTGAATTGGTCCATTCGTTGAAATATAATGTAATTAATTAGCAGAGAAGTATAGATCATATAAAATTAAGCTATATATTGTTAAATTTCTTTCATTTTTTTTAAAATTTTTGAGTGTTAAAAATCAAAATGCCAATATATACATTTATTCATTATCTAATAGTTATACAAATATGAATTAAGCTGAACAAATTTAATTATCTGTTTTACATTACATTACTTGTAAAATATAAGGAAAGGGAAGGTCAAATAAAAAAAATTTTTAAAAAAATGTGACTTTATGTATGTCATATAAATTATTAAATTTTTATTAACAATTAATTATTATTAGTTATAACTTATTTTTTATTTTTTTGTAATTTTTCTATTAATCTTATTTTCCAATCATTTATAAAATGTTTTTCCACTTTTATAACAAATACTACATAAAGGATATACTAATTTAAATATTTCTTGCAAAATTGAGATAGGTTATAAAATTTTTATCTGCACCATACTAGGACTCTGAACAATACTAATATAACTTACATTTAAGTTTACTTAGAGTTTATATTAAAATTTTTCAAACATTGCATATTATAAAGGTATTTTCATGGGTCCTGTGATCACCAGACATTGAAGATAGGGCCTTTATGGCTAAGGTGACCCGTTACTAAACAAAGTCTACCTACGGAGTCAAATGATCACTCGACAATGCACACGTAAGGTACTACCGGTATAATGAGTGGTTTGTAGTTTAATTATATTAGAGTAGTTATTAGGGAATTTTACTTTGTATATATTTTCTTTATTTTTTACTTTAATAAAACTGCAAATGCGTTGCAGAAAAAAAAAATAAAATAAAATAAAGGTATTTTCAAAATTTTGTTATCCTATATACTCTGTTTGTAACACAACCAGTAATTTGATTTTAATAAAATTTATATCATTGGATTCATCTTGATGAAAGGATTTTAATAATAGTAAAATTGCATTTTTTGCTTCAATATTGACAGAATTATATTATAAAATATATTTTTATTTTGGTATTTAAAGTTTATTTGTAAGTTGTATTAGTATTATTTGAGATTCTACTACACTAATAACAGACTTCATTTCCAATTTTTAAGGAATAATAAAGTAATTCAATAGGAGAATCACAAGAAATTTGAATTCAGCAAAAATCTTTTGAGCCAAACTATGATTATCTGAAAATATAGGTGATCCACATTAATAAGTATAAGCTTGTATTACAGAATTTAAATCTTGTTTTTGTTGTTCTGTTAACTGAGAATTGCTATAGAGGCATTGTGTTTTCCTACAAGAATTATATCTAATATAATCTTTAATTTTAGCAAAAATAAGAATATTATTTGGTACTAGCTCAGTTTTAGATTTTTCATTAATTAGAGAAGGGCAGAATTGTTCTGTTGTAGGTTTTCCATATAAATTTGCAAATTGTTCATAGTGATCTGAATTATCTATTTATAAAAATTAAAAATAATTCAATATATAGCTTAGATATTAAAAAATACCTTGTAATGGTACTGGATCGGACAGGAATATAAATTTTGAAAGATATCAATAGGCATTCTAACAGGATAACATACTTCACAAGTGGGTTGATTGCACTTTTTAATTTAAATAAATTATAAAAATTAATTTTTGAAAAATATTTATTTACTTAAAGCTATTTTATTACCTGAAAAGTATACACTCTTTCTTGACAATGAGTTTCAATAAATTTTACCAAAGACTTGTGTTTACATAGCTGTTGTTTGGTAGTTGAGTCAATCCGTAATATATTCTTTAAATAACAGATAAATAATAAATTTATTAAATAAAATAAATAAAAATTATTTTAGTTTAAAACAGATAATATTACTTCAAACATTTCATTAATTTCCGAATCTGATGCAGGAATTTCAGTCTCAAATGCTTTATTTTTCCAAATTAAATGTTCTGTACGCTCACGAAGCAATTCTTGAACTTTTTAATACATTGTTCTAATTCTGTTTTTAGGCATGAATTTTCAGTTGCTTTTTCATGTATCTCAAATTCATCTTCAAATTCATTTGGCGTCTTTTCTCTTTCTATAGCAACGCCTTGAAGTCCATAATTAATTACACTCATAATTCTCTCTGCGGGATTACACCAACTATGATTCGGAGCTGTCCTAACTGCAGTTAACATATCAAAATCACCTGTTAAAAACAAGCATATTAAAGCTATTTGAACTGATCCAAAGGTAAATCTGTGATCAGAACCTCCATCGGTATAAAATGACAAAATTGGTGGTAAGAGTTGGCCTCAATATTGACGATTTATGAGATTAAAATATTCTGTTAAATGCCTTAATGCACTACTTACAGCATCTTTGTAGCATACATATACTTTCCCATTATAAAAAGATTCAGAAATATTGTATGGAATATTAATAAATAAAGTAACAGATAGTGTTAATGACAATTTGGTAAAGTCGTGATCAGATGCTATAATTTCTCCTTCAGCTGGAGCTAAAGTCTTTTTATTGCGAACACTTGTGTTTGTCATCTGCTGAGATAAAACATGAATAATCTCGATATTTGGTGTTAAATTCGCGCTCATACTTAAATAGAGCACAACAATAATGTTCATCTTCATTTGATTTTTGTAATAACCGGGATTGCACCTTATATTTTTACATTAAAATGACCTGTATACTGCATGGCTTTGGTAGTATATGCGTTAAATGGTGTTCTGATGGGATTGCAATATAATCTGGTAAAGGTGGTCCTTGATATTTTGTATTCAAACGAGTAATAATTCTATCCCAAAGTTCTCAAATAAATATATATGGAATATATAGAACAGTATCTGCCCGGCGTTCATTAACAACTGTATTATTATGCTATAATAATTAAATATAAATAAATTGTAAATTACGTAATATGCAAATAATGCAATTATGTAATAAGAAATGTAAACCTCATTGAAGTATCCATTAAGTTCATTCCAAAAAATATCAAATCTTGAACTACGAAGTCCGAGGCGGGACACCATGTCACCAAGGCGCAATATTATGATTTATGGACTCGGGAAAATAATAATTTAGCGGTGATCGTCAATGCATTACCAGCTCGATGGGCAAAACTTTTATAAAATGCTTTATTAAAATACAACTGCAATTTTTTTAATTCCCGAGGCGGGACACTATGTCACCAGGGCGCAGTAGAATGTGGCACAGTATTATACGACTCCTTTAAGACTTCGGCAATCACATAATCGGTATCATCTGTAATTAGGAACCTGGAGGGATAGATTTCGCCCGTGCTATCTTTTTTTTGCCTATAGCCCACCCATTCACATTGTTCATGATCGGTGGTAAACTAATATACATAAGAAGTCAAAAAGAAATAACATGTGTTTCCCGAAATCTTTGATTGAGAGAAGAAATTTCCTCCCTAACCTTACTTTTACCAAAACTCTAGATCCGTGGTAAATTCTTTGAATGGGACGAAGTGGCGCGTATAAATATCTTCTTCACATAACAAATGAATCTACTTTAAATATCAGTATTCACAGCAACACCCATTATGTGAAATATTAATTGTCGGATGCAGATGTGCAGCATATGTCTTCGTAAAACAAATGATTATATTACAGATAAAATATACATGACAATTTTTTTAGCATCCAAGATTAATTAATTATAATTATTATAATTCTTCTTTTGAGGAGGTGAGACTTCTACATTTGCAATCATGGTATTATCATTATCAATTTGCAAAGGATTACTTGTAATGTACATCAATATACTATTAATACTTGAAGTAATCAAGTCCTAATATCAAATCTCAATTACATTAGTACCACACTACCACTGTATGTTGTACAAAATAGCTTGTGCAAAACACTTACCCGCAACATCCGTATAATGACCAAGTATGAGCATCACCTTTTCACGTTCTGTCATTATCGCATCGCATAATCTTTTTGCGGTGTTCTGATGAAATAAACATAAATATAAAGAACCAAAAGCAAATCAAAGATAACTAACATCCACTTACTACATTTTTCAATATTCAATGTTTTTGTTAGATATTGACTGATGTTATCCGCTCGCCCATCTTGTTACATGTCTTGATCATCTGAATCTGAAACGGAGTCAAAATCTGAAGATAGCAGAGTTGTATATGGAGACACCAAAAACTTCTCTATATTGCTAATTATATCGTCCCATTGATGTTTAAAGAGCCCTCGTGCTTTTGTCCCGGATGAACTAATCGTATCGATAATATTGTAGCGCAATAAACTGTAAAATAAAGTTAGTGATCAAAAGCATCAGATAAAAACAGCATACGAGAATTAATTACATACTCCTGTTTATGAATCTCTTCAATGTATTTTGATGTTCGACGCCATTTCTCCATTTCTGACCGAATACAGATGTTATCTATAATGAGTTTGAAATCAACAGTTGCACCAGGATTTTCTTGTAGAAGGTTCTCCTCTAACTCTTCTTCGGGAACAAAAGGTTCTAAGGTAACGATAGGTTCCTCATTAACGTGGTTATCTTTCATGTTTTCACGTTGAGAGACCGGGGAAAAAATTCATGTATTTTCTCGTCCATATTCGAGTCTGTTTTCGTCCTTTTTGTTCGAACTTTACGCTCGTCCTAAAGACAAATACAACATGGTTAGTTTTGCTGATTTTCAACTAGATAAAAAGGATGCACATAGGTACTTTTTCCTTTTCGTAATATCATTTTTTAGACACATCTATATTGGAAGTTCCAGCATTGATATAGATAGTTCCACTTCCTGAAACTGTCGAATTCTGAATGTTGATTAAGGGTCCACCACTCATTTTGCCTGATTTACGCTCTGTCTCCCAATCCTTAGCTCGTTTACGGTCACCACCCTAGCGTGAAATATTTACGTTAGTAACTGGCATTTTTACATTCTATCATTCACATTCCCATTTACTATCCCATCAGGTCAGCCAGCAACCTTGAACACCAGGCAACCCAGCAAGTTACCTGTGCCCTAGCTCTGGTTTTGTGGCTCAGCCAACAGCCTTAAATGACGACGACCCAGCAAGTCCCCGTCACGCCACTTTTCCCACTTAAAATTCCCAATAAAAAATTTACTTGCCTTTCTATAATTGTCAAGAAGCACTCGTGCTCTCTCCTTCCGTAGCCCTTTCTCATTGTCAAAGATGTTTTCGAGAGCTTTGGTATAAGAATCTCTCTTTAAATCAAAATTGACTCTCTGTCAGACTCGTTCAGAAAATCTATGATATCCCATTTAGACGATTTACAGTCGAAATATTCGTCTGCCATGACCATGATAAGCAATACAGTAATACAGCCTGAGAGAGAGTGTGTATTATATAAACATATCAAGATGTTATCAAGATCGATAATTTTGCGATGAAAAGTGAATAAAATTAGTCACGAGTGATAACATCTGCTGATCTGCTGATCATATAATATATAGTAACTTCATCCATTTAGGACGTATATTCATTACTAATTTTTACTTCAAATCACCGGGGGTGATCATCACCGTTGGCCGGAATTATCAATTTTTACCGGCACTATATTTTTTTAATGCTGGTCGATCATCGTTATTTCAGTCACCGGTGATCATCACCCCCGGTGATAGTTAGAAAAATTCTTCATTACTGCCTTCATTACTGCCTTAATTATATTAACCTTAGCTGTTAGGGCCAAATTTTTTCAAAAGAAGAATTTTTATTTTTCAGAAAAAACATATACTAACATCATGGAAACAAGTACTCTGCAGAATTATTTAATGGAATTATTTATGTTCAAGCACTTAAAGCAACAATTGTAACAGCAAGAGATGGGTATTATGATAATAAACCACTTTTGTTCAGATTTCTTAACTTTTATTCTTTTTTTTATTTGTGGAATTCTTGCTATTATCTTTGGAGTTTACTGGGTTCTATTTGAAATCTCAATAGGGCTGTTGTCAATCTACAAACTTATAATAGTAGAAATGCCGGATTGAATAATGCGGTTTTACCTTAATATTTGTATATAATTGTAATTTAAATTGAAGCTTAAAAACTAAAAATGTAGTAAATTCCTATAATCTGTATATGATATTCAAAATCATGTGCGCCTTCCGTTCCAATTTGGAACGCAAATCATTTTTTGCCAAGAAAAAAACTTTTTTTTTAAAACGTGATATAACTAAATAAAGTTCCTATGCTCCAATCTAATACATACATATTCTTTTCACTGTCTGTTAACGAAATCGGGATCCTGATTCGACTTGGTACTAGAGGTACCCTTTCCGCAAGATTGCCTGTCGACCTTACCCTTTTGATTTCCTTCTCTTTGTCTGCGCTTCCTCCAATAACCGTGCAATGTGTCCGAGGACCTAATTCTCATCTTTGTACACAACGGTCACAGCTTAAACGACAACTTCCCCTCGTTATACGAACATTCCATAAAATACCACTTTTCCGCAACTGTGACGATCCCAAAAGTCTTCCCCGTAAAAACATTTCTTTCTTCCATCTCACTTGCTTTACACTTACGGATTGATAAAGCTGATCAAGTTGGACGGCATTCTGAGCAATGCCCTTATAAGTCTTCGTCCTTTACTTATGTCACACCAACGGTTTTTGCGGATTGGAGTAAGTCTATTGCGAAATCAACCGGGCCGTAGTGACAACGATTAACTGAAATTGTTCTTTGATACGAATAGCCGCAGTCTTGATCATTCTGAATATCTTTCATTATCTCCACTTATTACCCTCCTTCTCTTTTTTAAAGACTTCGGGAAAAGACAAAGCAACATTCACACCAGCTACTTTGTAAAGAATAAATTTACTTGGATCGATATATCGGTTTGGCCACTACTTTTTGATCATTGATTTGAGGAGGTTGACCATCTTGTCTTCAGGGATCTCTAACATGAAAATATCTTCGAAATCATTGCCAAGATTAATGCAATTGAGACTTATATCTTCATTTGTGACCATTTTTTCGTTTCCTAAATGCAAGAACCCATCAAGAACCCATAGTGGGAAAAAACTCGCTTCCATGTATACATAACTTTGACATACTGTACATACCTTGTTTTTTCGTTATTTTTATGGGAATGATTTTTGCGGGAAAGTTGGCTGAAACTTCCACATACTCCTACACGCTTTATATCTTGCTGGAAAAAATATAAGGAGATAAGAAGAGTGATTAACTTTGTCGTGTGATGCCAAGAAGGCCAAGAAAGCATATGAACATGGATTTTTGATTCTTTTGGCATATCTATTTCCACGTAAGACGTAAAGTTGGTTAACTTGCGTAGATCTCAAAATTACAAAGTTCTCAGCCCTTAATAACACTTGAATATTATCACTAATATCGATAAGAAATAGCATACACTTCCCTTTTACAGCCTACCTAGGTTTCATTTTGCGATCGTCCTCAATGTAAAAAGCATTTGGCATTTCCTTGAATGAGACTATATATGCGAAAATTAATCCAAAAAATAGGCACGTGATCAGATTAGATTATCCAATCAATCTTTTTTTTTATGTATAAAAAATTGATGATAGACAAGATTTGGGTCTCGATATCCTTTTAAGAAATTTTAAAAGTTTTAGAGTTTAATTTTTTCTTGTAATCTTTTTTTTAGAAAATAACGTTGAAGATGGAATATTATTGGGATGTAAGTATTATAAAGAGGGTAACTTTAGTATTTCTTAAGAAATGTTATTAACATTTCTTATTTAAAGAAACAGCTTTGAAGTTGAATACTAATGGACGTAAGTATTATATGGACATGTTTTTAAGAAATGTTTCTTATTTTTACCTTAAAGACGATTACTAAAACATGAGTACTATTACATATTATAGGGGAACTTTAACATCATTGATAATTTCCTTATTTATATTGAAAGAAGTAAATTTTTTTCCTCGGAGAAACGCGTTTTTTTCAGTATGTATCGGTATTAATCATGTGACTTATCACCTGATGATCAGATAATCTTTTAATTTTTCTTTCGTCTTACTAACTTTGGTCTCTTTTTATATATATATTTTTTTTTACAATACAAACCTAGACGGCCATAGATGGCAATTGGTCAAAGAGGTAGATCATAATGTAAAGTTAGCATCCAATATGAACGAATTGGAATTTCAAACGATTACAAAGCGGAATACACTAAAAATTTGAAGGTAGGAAATCAACAGATAATAATTGCGTATTTTGGTAATGAAGATTGTAGATGGTTCTACCAAAGCATGGAAAGTTAGATATATGATAAAGTTATAATAAAAAAGTCGAGAAACGAAGTATTGGATAACAAAGACAAACGCGAAGATGAATAATATAGTGCAGCAAAATAAACTATTCAATTACTAATCCATTTTTCTCTTATTTCTCAACTCTGTAAGGTAACTTTAATGAGCATCGAATAAGAAATCTATTCTGCTAAAATAGATCACACTGAACTCCATAGCCATTTTGATTTACAACCAAACTAACTAGGTAGTGATTTCTGTGATTGTGATGATAGTCTGACCGGTCAAGCCCAGTTCATGTTAGTCAAATTTTAGTGGCTTTAAGAATTGAAGGTTGGCTGTTTTAATATTTTATTTCATTTTATTTTGTTTTCACTTTACTAACCTTTATTTCTTTATATATTTCAGCTGGTAACGCATTAGGTTTTTCTATGTATAACCTTCAAATAATATTGAGAAAGAGAATAACTGAGATAACGAATCAAAGAAATATTTTGCAATGAAGGCGTCAGAGAAGTGAAAGAGTTAGTGTCTTCAATCAAGATCGAATGGAGAAATGGTAAACTGATTTCAAAGAAAGTAAGTTTCGTATTCTTTTCATTTTATTGACTTTTTTTTACTTAGAACTTGGTGAGCTTTTGGGAGTCAATGATGAACGTGATATAAATGCTTAGAACTTGGTTAGCTTTTGGAATCAATGAGGAACGTGATATTAAATGGGTTAGGGTCCGAGACCCCAGAAAAAGAATTTTGAAAAAAAATTTTTATTATCTGTTATTATATTTTATTAATTTGTATTTATTTTATGGCGTATAAGGTATGTTAAGGTCCAATCACCAATACAAGGCGGAAAATATGGATCAGTCTTTTTGAATTTGCGAATAATACCCTCTTTTATTATCAAGATGTTTGTATCGTTTGGAGCATTACATTCAATAAGATTAAAAAAAAGCAGTCTGGATTCTGGAAATACAAAAAGAAATATAGTTATCATTACAGTTCCTATGCATCACTTAAATTCATCTATTTATAATATTTACTTACAGTTTTCATATACACTTTTTTCTAAACTGGTTTTAAGTGAGTCGTTGGAATTGGCGTAGTAATGATCTGATCATAAATATGTAATATAGAAAGTATAGATTCATTTTAAATATATATTCAAAATACCTGTGTACCTCGGATTCTTTATTAGTTGATACTTATTTTGGAGTCGTATCATTATCTCAACTCTTCTCTCTCTCTAAATCAGCAATAAGAGTTTGTTTTTTTGTATATCACTATTATCTCCAATTATCAAGTTCCAAGCTATCACTGAACTATATTCTTCACTATCCTTGCTAGGGTTTAACATTCGAGTCATAAAAATAGTTATAGGTACAATATTATAATATTATATTTAATAAAAAAAAGTTTTTATCATATCAATTCAAAAACTAAATAAAGTTCTTTGTACTTGTTTAAATGTAAAAAAGGAGATACAGAGCTCCCAGTTTCCAAATCCGCCAGAACCAGACATCAAAAAGGGAAAATGAAAATTCATGATTTCGGATTCTTCTTTGAGTTTCAGTTATGTAAATTTCTCAAACTTAAGTCTCTCAGATGTATATTTTAGTTCAGAAAGGGACCAATATGGCTATGAGCGGACTTCTACTGATGCGAAAAATGATTCCAATGTCTGGTATGATTTCGTATATTCAATTAAATAATTTAAATAAGACTTTGATGAAGAATTATCAGATGAAAGACCGTCATGTGAATTAAAAGTACTTCTCGATGTAACATCCTAATTCTTGCCGTGCATAAATTGGAAACTTTAAATTATGATTCAACAACGAAAAACGATTATATCACCTTTGATAAATGGTAAAGATTTTTGAGTGCACTTTGTAAAGGGAGGAATAAAGACTAGGGAGATATTATAAGGAACCTTTATGATAACAATCATAATGTCCTCAATAGCTTGTAATCAAAATATAGAATCTTAATAAAGTTCAAATTTCTGTTATACAAAAGGCAATTCTTTATTGAATAGTTAATTAATTTTAACTGTTTAATATAAATAATTGTTTTTTATAATTTGAATAAGAACGTTTATATAGAGATTCATAAATAGAAAGCGTGGGTAGTATGAGCAATTTTAATTTAATTTTGCTATAGTTTTGTAAAACATATGTATGTACCAATGATATGTAGTTATTTGGGTTACTAACTGAATCTAAATTTTTCACTGTATTATGTTACTCATGGAATCCGTATTTATGTTTGATATTTTTCCGATATTTCCATTATTGAAAAATATTATAAAGTCGTTATATGAATAAAACTAAAATTTAAGTGATGCACAATACACTTACATATCAAAGATTGGTGCTGCATTCGTGTGCCACAGGTAGTTTAGTATTTGTCTGTGTTGTTTAATCTAGAATCTGTTATATTTCAAGAATTCAAGTACTGCAGTTTCACGTGCAACTTAAGACGACAGGAATTGCTCGCAGTATTACGGTGTGCAAATTAATGCTTTTGTTTGTGCGCATTTTTAAATATGCAAAAAATTAATTTTTTTAAAGTGCACGCCGCACGCGTGCGTGATTTGAAATCTTCGATTTTTACGAACTTGAGATTTATTTGTATTATAACAAAAAAAATGGTCCACATGATCATCCTACTAGGTAGCAACGTTACGGAGAAAAAAATGAAAAAAGTACGAATTTTTTTGAAATTTAAATCTATTCATACAGTATATTTAAATCCAAATTTACACACAAAAAAAAAAAATATTTTAACCTTTAAAGCATTTCGGGGAATTTCTTTTCCGTCTCCATCTAAATATAATTTTCAAAATAGTATGTTTGTACTATTTGATACGCGCCGGCAAAATTCAAAAAGGAAATTACAATTAATGCATTATTTTCCTTTTTTGAATTATGACGGCACGTCTTTCATTCTAGAGAATAAAAAAAGAAATATATACAATAAAATGTTCATTCAATAAAAATTTGTTATTTGAATATAAAATAGTTAATAGATTTACAGTACTTAAAAATGCGCATAATATTATTTTTGAAAAAAATGATAATATAATTTAGTAATATGTTTCAGCCACTCATTATTTATAGTTATTGTTACTATTTTGTTAAGTATATAAAGGATATATAGGATCAAGAATTTCAAGCGCAATACTTCTTACAGTACATATACATTAAAAAAAAAAGAAAAAAAAAAGTCCCAGTTGAACGTCATTCACACCGTTCAGTTCTTATTAATAAAAAATTATTTTTTTTTTTGGAGGAGAATCGGCCCATAGTCCATCGTCTTCAACAACAGCTTTAAATCAAATATCATATCTTGATGTATCTAAACCATTTAATAATGCAAATCCGCCATTTGAAGAAAATTCCATTTGGAAGTTCATATGCACAGCATTTCTTAGTCCTCAAAAAAACATAATTTATTTATTTGGAGGGATTGTGAGGGATGTAAATACTGATATAGGTAGTTTAAAATCAGTTTTATATTCATATAATTTAGAAACTAATGAATGGACCATACCAACAACAAATGGAATCGCACCTGGAAAGAGAAGAGAAATGAATGGTATTATTAACAATAAAACTGGAAAATTTTATGTTTTTGGTGGACTGAGTGATCAATTTACTGGAACTGAGAATATCATAGCATTGAATGATATGAATATATTTGATACTATATCTTTAACCTGGTCAAAAGGTTCCACAATATATGCTCCACTTCCCCGTGCAGACTATACTGCTACTTTGTTATCTAATGGAATTATTGTTTTCATTGGTGGAAGAGAAACTAATTATTTCGTTGATGTTGACATAAATCAGGTAAATAAGTTAAATATTCATACTACATTATATAGGAATTAATTAATTCACAGTAAATTTCAATTAGATTGTCCTTTATGATACGACAATTAACAAATGGTCATCAATGGTGAGCTATTTAATGAAATTTATTTATCTCTTTAGATCTAACAATTCTTCCTTTTTAGACGGCACAAGGTGTTATTTTGGAAAATCGTAATGGACATTCTGCAGTTCTAAGTAAATATTATATTTACTAGTATAAATTTATATATAGGATATCAACTAACTAATAAGCTTCTTTTTTTACTTATTTTTTAATAGCACCAGATGAAAGAATAATTATTCTTGTGGGCGTAAAGATATGAACGAAACAATTTTAAATCAACTTGCTGTACTAAATACAGAAACATACCCATATGAATGGTCAATTCCACAAGTTTCCGCTTTAAATTTTGCACCACCAACAATTATATTCCACTCTGCTATATTAATTGAAAATTATATGTTTATAAATTTGGTAAGTTAATTAGCAGTTAATACAACTTACATTCATCTTTTTAAGACATAAATTGAGTATTTATTTACTATAAAT